GGTCTAAGGGTGGAGCATAGTGGTAAACCAGACTTCGAAACGATTGCTGATTTTTCCAGCCCTATAGTATACAAGACGGCTCCAATCGAAAAGCAACTATCAAGATCTCTTCTAGATACGCGGGGTTAGGATCCAGGGTTAGGTGTGGGGGCTCATGGCTTCGGGGGTTTTAGGGAACCTGCCATGTTGGAAGCATCTTCACAACCCTGCCCAGCTTGCAGAGATCTGAATCCACTACTGGCTGGAAAGCTACAGAGGTAATATCCGTGGGTGGCTCTGCAGACAACTTCAATTGAGTATGCAGCTGATAGCTGGCGTCAAGGCAACAAACAGGTATTTCCCACACCACAGAATTTGGGATTGAACAAATCTCGGAACAGCGAAAGCGCACCGCAGTGCTCTGTTGCAGGGCCTTTTGTTTTCACAAACCGGATCAATCTGGGTAAAATCCTGAACCCCAAACCCTAAACGCTGAATCGCACAGCCCCAACCCTAGATCCTACCAGTTTCGGATCGCTGAACTCCAACCCCTAAAACCGAACATCATAGTCCGACACCCCACCTGGGCCCTAAAGAACCCTTTTTTTAGGGGTCCTTGACGTGATTTCCTTATAGCAGTCCTTAAACAGGTAGGTTATTTGGGGAAAAGGTAGGCCCTGAACCCTAAACCCCAAACCCTATACCCTACCTGTACACCAGGGTTCCGATTTCGTGTTGCAGGTTTGGGGCTTCAGGTGCCCATTGTAGCAATGCTCCAAAAGAGACGAACTCCGAACAACAGCAAGATGATGACACCACAGAGCTTAATTAGTGTTTTCGCTGCTTTGGAAGGGAACTGGTCCCGGTGATCTCGATCCAAAATCGAATACGGTTGTAGTGGGTTTTGCAAGCCCTAAACCCCAAAAGACTAAACCTGCTGCCGGCATTCAACTTTCTCTAGAGAAGCATGTGAACCCCAGGCGGGCAGTTACTCGGAACATCTTGCAACTGGAAACCACTAGCCTTCAACCCGAAGCCCCGGAGCAACCTTTATTTCTTCTTCTGCTTTCGGGGGTTTAGAGTTTTTTATGGTTTCTGAAGCCCATGGCTGCGCACAAAGCCACTTTCAGTTCTGAGTTCAGAGGGAGCAGCAGTCTTTACCTAGCAAAACGATCGAAAGCTTTCCAGAGTTCTTCGGAACTCTTGGATGAACGGGCGTGAGCCATAGCCGAGACAACTGTATGCAAGTTCAACTAGCTGTCCGTCTCCACTTTGTATGCCCATCTCTATCGCGGGTGGGACCGGAGTCAGTGCAATAAGCAGTCAAGATGCATCAAGAACGAGCTTGCATGCTCTGTCCGCCGCCAACAGGGATGCTTGCAAACTGGACTCTATGAGTATAGGAGCCTTAAGTATCCCTAGGGGTCCATGCGCCCAAATAGTACTGTTTGGCCTTAGGGCCTTAGGGTATTCGAAGAGGATTCTTTGGGGGTATCCTCCTATACTGTAGTACAACAACCAATCAATATATATATATATGTACAACCAGGAACTCTAAGGAGGGGTATTTGCGGATAGTTGCGATGGCAACCTGACATAACGAGGCAAGCAACCGCCTGCCTGCTTGCAAGAGAGCCATTCTTGCACATCATACGCCTTGTCAAGCCCTCATTGAAAAACAAAGCCAGAGGCTTCTTGAAGCCTGGGTAGCTATAAACTCCCAAATATTTTAAGTGCCAAGACCCCTGATTCCTTGGCCCCCGGTTCAACTAAGACTCCAGAAGACTCTTCGGGTTCTGTAGCAACAAAAGCTAAACCCCAAAGTGCGCCTAAAACCCTAAAGCCCTAAAACCTAGAACCTAAAGCCAAAACCCTAGAAACCGAAAAGTCTGGAACCAACGTTGTACGGGGAAAAAAACACAACAACGTCTGCCCCGACACGTGGTAATGCTAAAAGCCTACTGAGGTACTGTACCTAAGGGGGCTATGCCACAAGGCCCCATCCCTACCTTTATCCCCCAATCCATACTAGGTTTTCCCTGAGATAATGTCGGTGTATATGGGTTCAGGGTCCCTTTTCGGATTCCCAATATAGTACGGCATCCTTGTATGAAGGACCGAAAAAGGGACCCTAATTTAGTGAACTCATATATGTCCTTAACTCCTAAGGCCCTCATGGTACCCTAACGGCTCCCATGAGGAGAGTACGGGCTTCGACAGAGAAGTTTGCAAGGTCTCAGAAAGGTTGTACTATAGGGGCCTTAATAATTAGAATAGGGTTTTGGGGCCCAATATACTACAATATAGCAAGGAATCCCCCAAAATAGTATGGGTAGTTATTTAGGACGACCCTACATCACTCACCGGCTTCAGGATAGGGCTCTAGGGCTCATGTACCTTCACAGCATAATTACATGGAAACCTGACAGTGTGGACCCAAGCCCAGTGTGTGTGTGTATTGACCATGTAGCCTGAACAGCGAACCCTAAACCATTCAATCTAGTTAAACCCTGAACTGCAGCATGCCGTGTCCCGCTAGAAAATCTAACCCCAACTCGACGCACTTAACTTCAAACCGTAGGACGCCCTGCAGCCACTGCAACAATCCGCTCGTGCTCAGCATGCGTAGCTTAAACATTCAGGGTTTAAGGGTGGTCTAGAGGTTAGGGCTTGGCCCATCATGCTGAGTACCGTCGGATCTCGGAGAATCCCAATCTCTAAGAGGCAAGATGTGATTCGGTCAGACATCTTACAAGCACTGGGTTTAGGGTTTAGGGGTCGAGGGGCTTAGGGTTGAGGGTGTCTCTTGCTCCTATGAATTTTAAGCTGTACCTGGCCCGAGTGTTCTTTCGAGAGTATCATGACAGGTGCCGAGGATGCTCTGACCGGACCAAGGAAGCAAAACTTGTAAGCCACTGCAGGACAGACTCGATTCCGACAATGATCACTGCACAGAGCAAGTCTATCCTGTCAGGGGGAGATGAATCGATGAGCAGAGACTGGGCCGATGTGTGTAAGCCAACTGGAAGCTCGACCAAGCTTGAGGGTAAGAAGGCCGGTGAGAGAATCAGTTGTTGTCGACTCTTGGCAGCAGACAGCCAAAGTAATTACTACGACTACAACTACATAAACACTGTAAAGCTCCTTTGCCACAACTGCTGCAGCTGCTGCTGCACGTGCAACTCCTGACGCTGCTCATATTACCGTGCGACGACGATGACGAGTACTACTGCTACTGCTGCTACTGCTGCTGCTGCGGCTGCTGCTGCTGCTACTGCTTCTGCTACTATTACTACTACTACTACTACTCCTCCTCCTCCTCCTCCTGCTGCTGCTGCTGCTGCTGCTCCTGCTCCTGCTACTGCTACTGCTACTGCTACTGCTCCTGCTGCTGCTACTCCTACTCCTACTCCTACTCCTACTCCTACTCCTACTCCTACTCCTACTCCTACTCCTACTCCTACTCCTACTCCTACTACTAGTCCTACTCCTACTCCTACTCCTACTCCTACTCCTACTCCTACTCCTACTCCTACTACTACTACTTCTACTTCTACTACTACTACTACTACTCCTACTACTGCTACTACTACTTCTTCTACTTCTATTTNNACTTCTACTTCTACTACTACTAGTACCAAGAACAACAACAGCAGCAGCAGCCGCAGCAGCTCGAGCAACAACAGCAACAACTACAGAAACAGCAACGGCAGCAGCAGCAGCAGCAGCAGCAGAAGCAGCAGCAACAACATCTACAACAAACTGCCGCAACAAGACGGAAGCGGGAGCTCTTACCCCGGCGAAGAGTGTGTCGTTTGCCTGGTCGTGGATGTTTGCGCGTGTTTGCTCGAACCTACATGGTGTCTTTTGGCAGCTTACAAAACAAGCTCCTCAACAAAATAACATCTAAACTGATAGCAGTTATGTGCCACAATCCAGTGCTGGCACTTCGCAGGACAGAGATCGACAAGCCTGCGCGGTGGCAAACGCAACAGCTGCTTGGCCAACCACGAGAAGAACCCCACCACCACCACCACCACCACCACCACCACCACCACCACCACCTCCACCTCCACCTCCACCTCCACCTCCACCTCCGCCAACAACAACCTCCACGACAACGACGACGACGACGACAAACACAACAACAAGACCAGCAACTTCGACTGGAACAGCAGTGATTACTTGACATACAAGCAAACAATAGCAACAACACAGAAAGGGCTGTTGTCAGCACAGATAATAGCAGTCCTTCAGCCATAGATATTCCGAAAGTGCACCGCCGTCTCTGTTTGCATTCGACTCTATAGTTGATTGGGTTTTTGTTTGGCCGAGTGATACCCTTATACTATGAACTCCTATATGGTATATGAACCTTAAACCCTTTTAGGGTTCATTTCGTCCTTAAGGTAGGGTTGAATCTGCAGGGTTGAGGCTTTGGGGTGCGCAGCCTAAGGCTTTGGGATTCTATCGACCGGGGGCTTGACGCAGTGAGGCAGAGCTTCGTGCTCAGGATTTTCACATGCTATGAGATCTTCAGTTTAGTTTGGGGGGGTCTAAATAGTTGGTGAGAATATATCTCTCTGCAGTTGTCCATAGAACAAGAGTATGGCAACTATCTGAAGGCTGCACAATTGTTCCATCCAGCTGGCTCCCCTCACAGGCCCTCTACGCAAAAATCGAGACTTGAAAGATCCATAGCATCTCGGCAGCCAGCTGTCTTGCCCTCTAGGGCTTGGGACTCGGGTTTAGGGTTTAAGGGTTTAGGGTTCAGGATTTCAGGGTTGAAGATGTTGGACTCGGGTGCTTGCTGCAGGCTTGCGACTGCTCTTGCAACAAAATGGCTGGCGCATGGAGAGTGGATCTCTGCATGGCACTTCTCGCCACTTTGAGGAGCGTTCAGAACCAAAAGCACTAGCACACCTTAAGCTCTGGACCAAGGATACAAAAACCCAAATCACAGCCTAACCTAACAAACTCTTTGACCCTAAACGCTGAAACCCTAAACTTCCCAAGCCCAATCATGCTCGATCCCTGATGGTCTGTCTCAGGCTCTCGAGCTCGTTCACCATGAACTTCCGCAGCTGTGCGATGTCCTTTATGGAGGCAAGGTAGACCGTGAGTTTGGAATGTGTTGCCTGCCTTGGGTTTAAAATTTAGCGCTCAAGGTTGTGGATATTGCTGTTGTGCTGCTGGGTTTATGGATGCAGGAGACAATCAGAGGCTTCGTTCGGGCTTGACATGTCAGATCTAGATGCTGCAGGATTTAAATGTTAGATTGAAAATCCGCGCGCACATTGACGATGATCTGATTATTGGTACATCGGCTGCGCACGAGCCCCCTCTATGGACGATCATGCTGGAAATCTTTGGCCTTGGACCATCATAGCTACACTCATTATACTCTTTGGCCTTACTTGGACGCCCTAGGGTCTGGGAAAGCGGGTTGTAAGTAGATTTTCGATACCCCGGTTGGGGATTTCTGATATCTGCCTTAAGAATTTACTTATAACCTATGTGCGCAGTAACTTGAAATCCAAGTACGCCCCTTAACCCTTTGGGACATGTACCTCGCAGAGTAGGATCTGGGGTGCTGGATGGCACGAACCCCGCATTAGACACTACTAGTCTCAAGTCTCAATGTCCTTGTGACTACGTGGGATATGCTTTGGCTTCAAGGGGGTTCCTCGCTATGCAGGTAGATGGAACTGATGGACATGCAGAGTCTTATACGGGCGTAGGAGGCTTTAAGGATTTCAAACCGAAAACCAGATGTTCAGTTACCAAATGGGATCGGCATGGGTGAATCGGGACAGTGGTGTGGGTGAATCGGGGCCAGTTGCGGTAACGGCGTGAAACTAGTTGAGCAAACCTGCTCAGTTGCAACAGGCAAGCCCAAAAAGGACACTGTTCTTGTACTGGGGCGAACTCAAACTCACGGCAGTTGATAAAAACACTGTGAAGCTTGCACATGCACTAGATTGACGACCAAGGGTCCCGAGGTTTTGAGACATTTGGCATGAGCCTCTCTTAAGATTGAAAGGCCCGCGCATATACGGGGCTCATGATTTAGTGGTTTAAGGTTTTCCGAATGACCAGTGTACCTACGGGAAGGTGTGGGCTAAACAGTTGGCAGATTCCCCGTTTTGAACATCAAGGTTTCTCCGGGCTCAGCTTGAGAGAATGGTCCTTGGGCAGAGCAGCCGAGGATGCGCTGTGACCAAATGAGAGTTCAGAATTGTTGCATGTCAACTATGGGGTACTCTAAAGACGGAAATCTTGTTGCTGAAAGTGTCCCATAGGCAATAGGAGTTCGAACAATTTTTCACGCTAGTGCAGGCCTCATATAATCGGATCCTAATACACAGCGAGCGCCGAAATCAACTGACCCTTCACCCGTCACCCCCGACCCCCACCCCCTGATTTTCAGAACCGCCCAAGCACCCCCGCAGCTAAGCACTCCTGATGCGGTTTTTATAAGGCGGTTCCCTGTGACTTCGATGCGACATCTGGGGATTTGTGAACTACAACGTGCATGTTTTTGCCTAGGGGGTTTTTGTGGCCGTTGAAAAGCTTAGGGTGCAAACATAGTTAATCATGGGCATACCTCAATCTTAGGATTTGAGTCTGGGAACATCTTGATTGGATTAAATTAAGTGAAACACAAAAGAACTCAAAGTTCACGCCGAAGCGCCATCATGCTCACAGAGGTTGTGCGCCGGAATTGCAGAACAGCCTGAGACTGTTTCGCGCTGTGGGCTCTGCACCCACACTTTCATGCTTTGTCAGCCTCTGGTATTCATTTCCGGTGAACTGGAGACTCATATATAATCGTAACGAATGAGGGCAAACTTTCCACCAAGCGTAGCGGAATAGTACTGTCTTTGGTCAACGGTCCAAAGATATGAGTCTTTAACTTTGTGAAAAAACCCTGAAACCTAAACATAAATCGTTCATCCCAAACCCTTATAGGGCTTCAAGGCTTAAAGACAATAAATACCAATCATCTCATAGCAGGCAGCATCCACCAACTCCGGCACGGAGAGGTACTCCCGAGCATGGAACATGATCTCTGGGTAATCGACCTCGGTGCTTCCCAAAAAACCCTCAACCCGACATTGGAGTTCAGCAAGGGGGGATTTGGGGTTCAGAGGGCTTTTGGCGGTTTATGGAAACTGTATCGAGCTCAGTTCGGGACATTGGCGCAGGGTTTTGGGCGGGTTTTCTATGGTTTTTCACCGGGCTATGGCTGTTGCTTTGTCTCGCTAACCAGGCCGAGGCATTTGGGGGGGGGGGGGGGGG